AACCAGTCACAGTGGGGAGGTCTTAGCCGAGCTATGCTGAGTCTAGGGAGAAGGCTGAGTGGTCCCCAGAATTTCTGTTGCCCTTTGCTTCCACTTGATTCTGGCTCCCAGCCACCCTGCAGGACAACTGCCCCGTGGGGTTGCCAGTCTGTACAGAAGCAGACTGCCACATCTTCTTCAAGTGCCCAGTGGGTTTGAACCACTGATTTTTTGGTTTACCGGTGAGCACTTAACCACGGTGCCAAGAGACCTCCTTCTGAAGTTAACTAATGAAAGAAAACCCTAAGTCAGGATCCAGGTAGCCTGCTGCCGGATATGCTCAAAGATGCGCGCCCTGGGCCAGAAAACCCTCGGGATCCCTTGGGTGACTGTTGACTGAAGCTCGTGTAGCTGGGGGGTGGCTCAGAGCGGGCCCAGGACCGCCGTGAACTGGATCACGGTGGATGTGCTCTGCGAACAACCTGCTTTGTGTTCACTCGGGGCTGCGCCTTCCTGTGACAGTGGAGAAGGAGAAGAACGCGCACGTTTCTAACAGCTGCCGTAATCTCCCATGTTTGGATGGGACCGTACTTTACATAACCAGTCATTCCCGGGCTTTGCTGTTTTAAGTTACGCAGTAACGGCCATCTCTGCAGGTCTCCCTCTTCGCACAAGTGTCTGGGCACTTCGCTGAGAGAAGTTGGGGCAGCCGAGGCTGCTAGAGCAGCGGTCATTGTTTGTAGGTGCTGTGGACTTGTGCCAGCTCATAACGACCCCGGGTTCAACATGCCCTTCCTGCGCCGGCCTCAGTTGCTGTGTTTGCACCCACTGCTGCAGCCACTGGGCAGTCTGCCTCTGAGGGTCTCCCCCTCTTATGCTGACCCTCTACCAAATATCCTTCTTCAGGAGCTACTTGGGGTCCCCTGTCCAGTCAGCTTTACCAGTGAAAGTTGGAGACGCTGGCGTCTGGATGCTGCTGTCTTGGCATCGCCTCCTCCCTGGGGTCCCGTCCCTCCATGCTTGTCCTGAAGAGCGGTGCTGACCCTTTCCGCTTCTTCCTAGATATGTCGGACTCGAGACTGGAGCACCTGTCTGTGTCCCACACGTGCCACCAAGCATGCGAGGGCCCAGGGGCGCACCCGGAGCTGCTGTCCCCACCGACAACGCCAGACCTGCCCCGGCGCCCAGCTCACAGTGCTCCAAGGAGGACAGTGGTCCAGCCTGGGACTGCGCCCTGAGCTGCTGCCTCTGGTGGGTGTCCAGCCCTGCAGGCAGTTTGCCTGGCTGGTTACAAGACCCTGAGCTCTAAGGGACCCTGTGGGCTTCACCAGTGTCCAAGGGGGAGTCCAAGGGACAGGAAAGCTCAAGGAACCGAACCTTCCACTCACTGCAGGTGTGCCCTTTTCTCCCGTAACAAAGATGCTAGTTATAAGAGGCTCTCTCTCCACCTTGTCCTCTCATGTCCGAATGCCTACAGGACCCTTGTGTATCCTGCCCACCCCCTCTCTCACTACATGACGTGTTGGCAAGGGTGGCCTTTAGCAGGAGCCTGGCTGAGGCTTCCCCAGACCCAGGAACTGGTGGTACATGTTGGTTCTTGGGTGAGAAACTGGACAGGAAGAAGGAGGCCTATTTGACACATTATGTCCAATGGTTGAGCAACTGTCTCCCTGCTACTGAGGCTGACGCTCTAATCAGGGGTTGACCAACTGCAGCCCCAGGGGCTAGATCCTGCCTGCTGTCTGTTCTTGTAAATAAAGTTTTATTGGCACACAGGCACACCCTTCGTTTACATACACTTTATAGCTATTCTTATCGCCAGAGTAACTAGACCTCTCTGAACCTAAAATACCTGCTGCCCTGGAGGCCTGACAGGAAGGGGAGACCCTGCTTCCCCATCACACCAGCCCGCCCTCACACTCCCCCTCCCAAACAGCAGCTGCCCTCATCTGCCCTTCCTCAAGGGGCCACGGTGTCAGGGTCCAGCTGTGCATCTTAGGGTTTCACACATTTCCAGGCCAGCCTCCCGAGATGCCTTTTGGACGGCCAGCTTTGCAGTCAGTAGTCAGTGGTTTAACCTTTTGCTCCTTCGAGGGACTCTAAAACTGTCCAAAAGTGGGTAAACGGACAAAAGAAAGGAAAAATGGTGCGATGCATGCATGGCTGGATGGAGGAAAGGAAGGATGGATGGAGGGTGGGTGGGTGGGTGGATGGGTAAATGGATGGAGGAATGAATATGTGAAAGGGTGGGGGGAGAAATGAAGAATGGTTGGGTGGATGGAGGGATGGTTGAGCGATGGAGAGGAGGGGGTGGGTGGTTGGTTAGAAGAAGGGTGGATGGGGGTGTTTGAGTGAATGGAGGAAAGGAGCATTGAGTGAGGATGAGTGAATGCGTGGAGGGATGCATAGATGCATACTTGGAAGGGTGGATGGAGCAGAGGAGGGATGGGGGGCTGTGTGAATAGAGTAGAGGAGGGATGGGGGCTGTGTGAATAGAGTAGAGGAGGGATGGGGGCTGTGGATGGAGCAGAGGAGGAATGGGGGCTGTGGATGGAGAGGAGGGATGGAGGCTGTGGATGGAGAGGAGGAGGGATGGGGGCTGTGTGAATAGAGTAAAGGAGAAATGGGGGCTGTGTGGATGGAGAGGAGGAGGGATGGGGGCTGTGTGGTGGAGAGGAGGGATGGGGGCTGTGTGAATAGAGTAGAGGAGAGATGGGGGCTGTGTGGGTGGAACGGAGGAGGGATGGGGGCTGTGTGGATGGAGCAGAGGAGGGATGGGGGCCTGTGTAAATAGAGTAGAGGAGGGATGGGGGCTGTGTGGTGGAGAGGAGGGATGGGGGGCTGTGTAAATAGAGTAGAGGAGGGATGGGGGGCTGTGTAAATAGAGTAGAGGAGTGAGGGCTGTGGATGGAGGGGAGGAGGGGTGGGGGGGGTGTGGTAGAGAGGAGGAGGGATGATGGGAGCTGTGTAAATAAAGTAGAGGAGGGATGGGGGCTGTATGGATGGAGAGGGGCGATGGGTGATAGAAGGATGACTAGACAGTTGATTGGGAGGTTTGATGGAGAGTTGATGGAGCAATGAATGACTAGCTCAGTGGGGTCTCTGGTGTGAGAGCTGTGGTTAGTTAACCACCAGGTACCCTGCAGACCCTGGGAGAGACCAGGAAGACTTAGCCACCTCAGTGACCAGAGGCCTCCCTAGAGCATGGTCAGGTTTGGCCCCCCCTCCCCCTCTCCATTAGGATACTGGGAGCTTGCACAGGTTGGTACTCAATGAAATCAGCTTTTCTTGATGGGTCCTAAACCCATCAAGAGTGGATCAAGACCTGGACAGACCACTGTCCCCACTATGGTGACCCTCTTGACACTTGTTGGACACAAGCTCTGCTCAGACTTTTGGTCCCATTTGCAGCCCTGGGCCCTGCCAGCCCATCAGGACTGAGATGGGCACTGCTGACCAGTGCTCCTGCCCCTGTCTTTCTGCCCACAGACCCCTCAGAGAAGGCTAAAGGAATCCCAAACGGCCTGAGAAGCTGGTGACCAGGAGCCCACTGCACTGCCCGGCCTTGCTCCCAGCTCGCCCACAAAATGTGGACAGTCCTTGTGCTCATCTTTCTGTCCTCATCCTTTTCCAAAAGCCAAGTGGTATCAGAGTCTCCAGGTAAGTGACAGACTGACCACTGGACAGGCCACAGTGACCCCAAGTCCCTTGAGCTCTAGAGAGGGAGGGGACTCTGCAGGTTGGCCAATGGGCAGGAGCCTTGCCTCTCCTGGTGCAGGGCTTGGAAAGGCATCTGAGCGAGCCTCTGTCCATGCCAGCGTGAGCAGGGACTCCCAATGAGACGAGGCAGCTGGACTCCTAAGTGTTCACTTGCTTGGCCTTGCAAAATGGGGTTTCTTCTACAAACTGAATCTTCACTGAGGGTTCATTCATACACTCATGTGTGAGAAATTTCATAGCATGAGAGTTCTGCGTGAGCCAGGAGCTCTGTGTCTTCCAGAATTCCCACAGCGACTCTTCTTACAAAGCCAAGAATTCTTCTGGGGTGGGAATTCACAACAATTTTTCTTTTTT